GTCCCTGCTGACATGGGGCCTGCATTCTAGTTGGAATACATGTGATAAAGAACCGAGTAAAGATACAGTGTCAGTTGGAGATGAGAGCTGGGGGAAAAAGTTAAGCAGGGCAGGGGGACAGGGAGCGCTTGGGGGGCGGTGAACTGCTGTTCTCTAACAAGATGGTCAGGGAAGGCCTGATGAGGTGACACGTGAGCAGAGGTGAAGGACGTCCCCCTCAGTGGGCCTGGGGCTGAGCAACATTTAGTTTCTGGTACTATGGGAGGTCGGCATCTCTTTCTGTGTTTTCACATGTGTATCTGTCCTGGGAGGCGGAGGATGGTGAATTTTGGCCACTCACTTTTCTCTCGCCATCAGTGAGATGCCTTCAGTAATTATAATTTTAAGTGGCCCAAACTCTTCCTAATCATAATCTCTAGCCTCTATAGTTGGCTACCTACATTATTCTCACCTATCTTTATTTAATATTTTAAATTGTTATGTATACGGCTATGATTAGTAACCCAGCATACAAGGAAAGCAATTTGGGAATACAGATCAAGGGAACACATGAGAAGGCGTATTTGGGGTCAGGGACAGAGGAGAAGGAGACACACGTGAGCAGTGGGGAGGCGGTGAGCACTGGCTGTCGGACCCTGGTCAGGAGGCCTCCTTTCCCCAGCCCCCCGGCCTGTACTCCCCGGGCCAGACCAATGGCCTGCTTATTGATCTGAGTCTAGCCCTGAGTTAAAAGAACAGAAGCAATGGCGCTCTTTTAATTAAGCAGATATTAAAGACATTGCTTACGAAAAACAAGCAGCAGACGGCACTGACTTCTGGCTTTCATCCACAGAAACAGAAAAAGAAAAAGAAGTTTCTATGCCTGAGACTAGGGTTACACGGAGGTTTCCAGCATCCAGTCAGGCAAATGCCTGGACAGCTGCTTAGGGCAGATGGGTCCTCTGATGGCTCAGAATCGCAGGGTTTCTGGTGACTCTCTAGCCCAGGCAGCCGACGTGAGACCATCTGTTCGCAAGTGGGCAGGAAAGTTCCCTACCAGCAGGTCGCCGCTGCTGAGGCTGAGACACAAGTCAAACACCAAGCCGGCCATCTCCATAACCTCTGCAGAGCAGACAGGCCTGGCACACCACTGAGGAGGAGACCTGGCCCTGGGCCCACGTGCCCTCGACAACAGGGCCACACGCAACAAGGATATTCGCAGAGGCTTTCTGTTTGGTTGGTGGTTTATTTTTATCCTTTTTTTTTTTTTACTTCAAAAAAATTTTGTTTGTTTTTATGTGAGTATAGTTGACACACAATGTTACATTTGGTTTCAGGTGTATCCAAGAGGTTTTTTTCAAAGTATTCAGATGCTATGAGATAGATCATTCAACTCAGAAGGCTCTTTTGTTCTTGTCTACTTTTCTGAACAGGAAAAGAAAATAACCATGAATTCAGAGCCACCTATAATAGGCCTCAAAACTAGTTACCATTTGTTTATTATTAAAATGAAAAAGATTTTTAGAGAAGTAACATACATTTATTGCAAAAGGTTTAGAGTAAAAAAATAAATAAATCTCCCTCCTACCTCTTTCTCCCAGTACCTATCTCCCCTACCCCTCCAGAGATAGACAGTGTTACCCATTTCCTACAATCAGAAATTGTCTATAATACATACTCATATATGAACACACATAATACATACATACATGTCCTTACAACTTTATTGGCTGTATTTAAAATGAACAAAGGCATTTTTTAAAAAGACTGTTTTTAAGTAGGCTCTATGCCTAACGTGGGGCTCGAACTCACAACTCCAAGATCAAGAGTCACACACTCTAGGCACTGAGCCAGTCGGGCGCCCCTAAAATGAACCAGGGCATATTAAAGCCTCTGAGAATAACCACAGTAAAGAAGCCTGTTTCACTTTGTTAGCATACTATCTACTGGTATTTGACCTGGGGTCCCCTCCCTCCCCTCTGGTGTAATTTCTGATCTGTGGAATAGAGCCAGGACTCGTTGCTCCGGCTATATCAGGTGTTTCTGGATAGGTCTGTGCTTGAGCTGTCCTTTTTTAAATTTTTTTTTAATGTAAAGATAATTCCCATATTTTTCTTTTTTCTTTATTTGCCTTTCCTTATTTTCTTTGCTCCTTCTTTTCATATTGCCTATGCATGGTTCTCTTGATCTTTTCTTTCTGGTTTATTATTTGCTTTGAAGGGGGGCAGCTATTCGCTGAAATGCAGTTCTTGAAGAGGTGAGGGTACCAGGTAGGGTGGTCCTACAAGCTTCAGTTCAGGCTGAACTCCTCGTCACCTCACACCACGTCAACCTCTCTCCACACTGCAGTATCATCTGCATGAGGCCGCTTCTTCCCTCAGCTGGGTAATGTCCTTTCTCTTTACCCTCCTTCCTACACGGGGGTCAGCATGACTTAGAAGTTTCTTTAGGCCCCACACACTCTTGGACCAATTTGGGGGTATTTTATTTAGGATTAAAAAAATCTCCACATGAAAGTGGGACTGGAGTATAATTTTCTTTTCTCATGCTATCGTTATTTGTTTTGGGTATAGCACTGTGTTAGCCTAACAAAATATGATGCCCAAATCTCCATCTCCAATTTTTTTTTTCAAAATTTTTTACTTGTTCCTCTTGTCTCTGAAACTTGGTTGGAATGTTGCTCATAGATTTTTAAATCCTCTCTTTTAAAAGATTTTATTTATTTATTTGACAGAGAGAGATAGTGAGAGAGGGAACACAAGCAGGGGGAGTGGAAGAGGGAGAAGCAGGCTCCCCGCTGAGCAGGGAGCCCGAGGCGGGGCTCGATCCCAGGACCCTGGGATCATGACCTGAGTTGAAGGCAGACGCTTAATGACTGAGCCACCCAGGCGCCCCTCTCTATAAATTTTTAAAGGTGACCCAGATCTAGTCTATCAATGGTTTATTTTGTTATTTTGATCCCTTTCCTTCTGACTTCTAACCAGAGAACCTCTCAGAATGTTCTTCAGGGAAATTATCTGGAAGATAAAATATTGGTCTGAACTTAAATCCCTCTCACCTTTGGATTTCCACAGTTAACCCAGGTTCAAATAAGATCATGTGCCACATCACTGTACTTGTAAAACACAATATAATTTTCAAAGTTACACCAGTGATATGATACTTGACAATAAAGGAAAACAGAGCAGAAATCAAATTAACCTTTCCTCAAGAAGTCAACAACAAGTTGATGACTAATACTAAGTCAAAATTCCAAGCCTGAATTTTCTGGGGGCCGGGAGGAGGGATTTTATCTCTTATCTATACTTGACCTTTTATTCACAGAATAGGAACATCCAGAATAAATTATTAAAAATCTAGCATTTTGACAGCCTTCATCTCTTCCTTCCATTTATAATTTTTAAAGACATTTAAAATTCTTCCATATATTAAAGATAGGAGGGACTGCAACTAGAAGTGTTATCTCAGAATGCATATGTGAGGGAAAGAAAGCAATTGATAGTTCTAGAACCAGGTTCACATTTTCTACCACTTACAGAAGTATTTTAACAGGAGTTGGAATTTGCTAAACAAGGACCCAGATTAAGAAAAATACTTTAATTTCCCAGGCGAAGAAAACTATTCATTAGTACAGGCATCCAAATTAAAATCCCTTGAATTGTCCTTACTTTGCTAGAACTAAATAGTAGAAGGAAAATAAGCCTGCTAATTCGAGTGGCAGACATTACTGGAGAGATGCCTTTGCCAGGTCTTTCCCTTCCATTCTAAATGCCTCAGTATTTCTCTTCCCTTTCTTTGACAGATGGAAGGGAATTTTCCAAAGGCTTATCTGTTTACCATTGTTTCGGGGTAATTCCTTAGTTAGGTTCTTATTTTTTTTCCACGAGGTGACCATTACACATTTTTTTTTTAGATTTACACCATTGAAAAGCATTTAACTACATAGATAAAGATCTACTTTGATCTAGAATACAAGGTTTAATAACAAAATAAATGGTCTGTGCAGCGCACTTCTAAAGTTATACTGCACACGTTGATCCGCAAAAATGAACACAGTCAAATTAGACAGGGGGACATCTGATTCTAAATATGTCTTTGCTTAGAAAAAGAAAAGCTATGTCTAAACTAAAGAAAAAACCAATACTAATAAAGAAGACTCGATTACTTCTGGCAACTTAGGAAGTGTCGTGTAGGAAGAAATGGAACTGGAGATTGGACTCATTTCTCAGTCACTGAGTTTTGAGAAGTGGTTTTTCCCTGGCATCAGGGTGGTGGGGAGGCAGAGACAGTCTGCCACAATGGGAAGAAGATCTGCCTTTGGAGTCAGAAACACCCTACCCCAAATACTCCATGATACCCTACAAGGAAGGAAAACCCCATCTGTAAAACAATTTCAATAAATAACCAGACAAAATCACTCCCCTGCTTAAAATGATCATTCACTGGTCCACAGTGCCCCCCGGATCTGTGATGTGTATATTTCTCACATCACTGTTCAAAACGCTCCCCCTCCCCCACCCCCCCCAGCCGACATCATCTAGGTTTACTGTGACTATGCCATGTGCCACCCAAACTCCATGTTTTTGTATAGGTTGTTGCCTCTCTCAGAAATTCCTTTAGTCTTCATGGAACAATATGTCATCTTAAACCTGTTTTCTAATTTATATTCACATTAGACACACTCAGTGATTATATTTGGAATAAATGAGAAGCTGTGACAATAAGAATATAAAGTCATTTTTCTGTCTTAACTACGTTTGGATTGGCAATGAAGAAATCACCGGTGGGGAAATCTCTCATTGTTGGTTCAGCTGGAGGCTGGAAAAGTAGAGGCTCATTCCCAATCTTGAAACTAAGCTTGGATGCTAATTTTGCCTTCTGTGAAACAGATGATTTAAGTTGTTCTTATAAAGGAAAATAACTCAGTACACTGAAATTGGCCCAATACAAGTTCAGTAAGAATTATGATGAAAGATTTCATATGCTCAAAACGTGCCTCAGTTACAAAAATCAAGCTTTACCTCTTGAAATGATTCACCAGGACTCCAACAAGTTCTCCAATTCGACTCTCATGGGTTGGCTGTTTGCTGAAGAGGCAGACAATGAGGTCTTTGTTGTCTTTTGTATGGAACACTACAAGTTGGTCCTTTCCATTGGAGACGCTCAGACCAGTCAACTACAAAGGGACAAAGCATGGAAAAATATTAGGATGGTTCTCAAAAGAATAAATTTAAAAATACATTTTGTAATTTAATAATTATTTTTGATCAGTGACCCTGATGACTTCAGTTTTTACCAAGTCTTATGGAACAAGAAAGATGGAAGGAAATAATAAAGAGAAGACTAAAAACTAGTGAAACTGAAAACAGAAAAATAAAGAGAAAAATCAATGAAAACAACAAGCTGGTTCTTTCAAAGGACCAATAAAATTGTTAAGCCTCTAGTCTGAGAATAAAAGTGAGACGACCTAATTACCAATATGGAATGAAGGAGGGGATACCACTACAGACCACATAGACATTAAAAGGATAACAAGGAAATATTTTCAACAACTCTGTGTACATAAATTCAAGAACTTGAACGAAACCGAATTAATTCCTTGAAAGCCACAAACTACCAAAACTCAGCCAAGAAGAAATAGATAACCTGAGTACTGCTTTATCTACTAAAGAAATTAAATTTGTGGTTAGAAACCTTTTGAAAAAAGATGCGCCTGGGTGGCTCAGTCACTTAAGTATCTGACTTCGGCTCAGGTCATAATCTTGGGGTCCTGGGATCAAGCCCTGCAGCAGGCTCCACACTCAGTGGGGTGTCTGCTTCTCCCTCTCCCTCTGCCCCTCCCCTGGTTCATGCCCTCTCTCTCAAATAAATACAATCTTAAAAAAAACTTTCGAAAAAGAAAACTCCAGGTTCAGATTGTTTCACTGGTGAATACACCAAAGGTTTAAAGAAGAAATAACACCGGGGCACCTGGGTGGCTCAGTTGTTGGGCGTCTGCCTTTGGCTCAGGTCATGGTCCCAGGGTCCTGGGATCGAGCCCCTCATCGGGCTCCCTGCTCTGCGGGAAGCCTGCTTCTCTCTCTCCCACTCCCCCTGCTTGTGTTCCCTCTCTCGCTGTGTCTCTGTCAAGTAAATAAATAAAATCTTTAAAAAAAAAAAAAAAAAGAAATAACACCAATTCTCTATATGTCTTCTTAAGGGGAAGGGAACACTTTGTAACTCATCTTATGAGGCCAGCATTATCCTGACATCAAAAAAAGGTAAAGGCAGTACAAGAAAACTGTAAATCAATATCCCATAGCCTTCATCAACATGGATGTAAGAATGGCCAACAAAACATCAACAAATCGAATCCAACAATATAAAGAACAGTAATATACAATGACCAGGTGGAGTTTATCTAAGAAATGCAAAGCTAGTTCAATATTCAATAATTAATCAATGTAATCCATTGTTGGAACAGAATACATAAGGCACATGATCATATCACTTGATGTGGAAAAACTGATGAGGGATAGAAGCAGAAAAATATTCACCTTTATCCCAGAAGGCTGACCTATAGCCTGCATAGTTTCGATAAGGATCAGATACGTGCTGGTTGTTACATTCTTAAAGGGTCTCACAACTCCCTATACACCTCACTGATAGTTATTATCAAACCGAATGATAAGCACCAGAGAAATCTTGTGAAAGTAGTTTCACGAGTAGAAATTCAAAGAAACAATTTATTTTTATTTTTTATTTTTTTGAAGATTTTATTTTTAAGTAATCTCTACACCCAATGTGGGGCTCGAACTCACAACCCCAAGAACAAGAGTTGCATGCTCTACTGACTGAGCCAGCCAAGCACCCCTTGAAGAAACATGATCTAATACTCCCTGTACATGTCCTCCCCCTTGAGCACTAAAGCATATACCCACCAGTTTCATACAGCAAACATGCAGCTCTTTCTGCCCATGGGTTCTGTCCCCGTGCTATTTAAATAAGCTTACTAAGGGACACATGGGTGGCTCAGTCGGTTGGGCGTCTGACTCTTGATTTCGGCTCAGGTCATGATCTCAGGGTTGTGAGATGGAGACCTGTGTGGGGCTCTGCACTCAGTAGGGAGTCTGCTTGAGATTCTCTCTCCCTCTCCCTCTACCCCTTTACCCCACCATGTGCTCTCGCACTCTCTCTCAAGTAAATGGATAAATCATAAAAAAAAAAAAAAGCTTACTAAGTTGCACTGTAAAATATCTGAAGAATTCTTTCTTGGCTGTTGCACTCCATGACCTGCCAACAACCCACATGGGGATTGTGGAGGGAATCTAAGAGCCTCGGTGTGACTTGTTAAGTCCCTTTTATTCCCCCAGCCTCTACTTGTTCTTTTCCAGAGATGTCCTGAATAGTATGACTCTTCTGAATGTGTTTTGTCCTAGGGCTTAGGAGACCCTCTTGCCTGTGGCTGTACTACTGGGAAGACAAACTCCTGCTGCCTGGCTGGACACCAGTATCTTGGCCATGATGGCGCTGGGCTCAGAAATCAGACCCTCCCTGTTTTGCCTGTTCTTTCAATACCTGGATTCTTCTCAGTCACAGGATGGCCATACACGTCATTAGGATGGTCGCACATCTGAAGACTCCTATGTAAGGTTTCCTCCTAAATAACTTGGTGTGATCTCTCAATGAGCATAAAATCTAAGATACATCTGACCATGTGCTTCCCAATAGGGACCAGTGGGAGCTATTACCCAGTTGAGGCATCCACCCAAAGGGAGACCGCTCCCTTGGGGCTGGATCACGGATAATGCTCTTGAGAAAGTTGCTCAGATTAGATAGGAGCGCCATACTTTTGGTTTTTCGTGTCTCTCATTTGTCCTTCCCCATGGGCTGTTCGGCATTCTCCATCCTGCTCTTAGATATATATGTCTAAGCTAGAAGTACTTACGCTTAATATGGTATAAAATAGCTGCCCCGTCTTAACAAAGGCCATGGCCTCTACCCCATCCATTAATACTAGATCTAGAGGCTTAAAAGGGTATTATTATTGGTTGCCAAATATATCAACTTCCCCAAATGGAAAGAGGCAGCCCCAATCTCTGTGGTGATTCAGTCCATTCACCAGCACCTACTGTAGTCTAGGATGTTGCAGGGAAGTGAAGGGAGGTCAACATCCCTTCTCAGGTAGTACAAAGGTGTCAGAGTGGTCCAGATCAGAGAGGCCTCCTGCCACTCTGAACCCCAGGAGCCTTTAGCAATGTTCCTGATGGGATGCCACTTGGAAGCTGAGAAGGATTTTGGTAATGGACTCCTAATTAGTTAATGTACTCTCCTCGTTTTGTAGGAATTAACTATGGGATCAGCTTCCTTGATCCCAAAGGATTCTCCTTTGGGCTGTCTCCTAACACAAGGGAGTCAATTTGGACAAGAGGATTTAAAGAAGTGCCTCCTCTTCTTCTGTAATGATGCTTGGCCTCAATAATCTCTGAAGGATGATAAAACAAAAAGGCCCATTAATAGGTCTTTAAGGTTCAATACTATTTATCCACTGGACCTTTTTGTAGGTGGCAGGGAAAATGGACTGAGATCCCATAGGGTCAGGCCATTATGGCCCTGTACCAAATCCCTGATCTGTCCAGACTCCTTTAGGGGCTCGAGGACACTCATCTCCTCACCTCTACTCCTCAATCCACCATCAGCTAACCGCCTCAGGTCCTTCTGTTAACCCACCACCTTCCCTGTGTTTTGTCATGTTCTTTGTGTGCTCCCCTCCCTTGTCTCTCTTGTAAACAGGTTGTTGCCAAGATCCTGTATATGTCTTCCTCTTTTTCCTGAGTTACTGGTCTTCTCTTTGTTTGCTTCTTCTTTTGTGCATCAGATCTGGAATATATCTTGAGAGGACTGGTTGAATGTTGCCTGACTCTTGTTGCATGGGGGGAGTTTTCTCCCTCATTCATTTCCGGGATTGTCTGTGTGCCTACACGCTCACTCTCTCACTTTCTCACTCTCTCTCTCTCTCAAATAAATAAATCTTTAAGAAAAAAAGAAATTCTGCTTTTCTCCTTGTTAAAAAGACAAAGTTTTCTTGGACTGTTGGTCTGCTCTTCATAAGAAAAAGTAAACAGAGTTTTTTACCTTTTCTTTATCTGCCCAGAAAACCAAAGCTTCTATGTTTTGTCTTTATCAGGTCTTTGATTACTTAAGAAGGTTAAAACTTCTCAATGTTAAAGGAGCTAAGTTTTGCTAACAACCATACAGCTTCATGTAGAATCTCTTACTGCCAGCTTGGTTAAATGTAAATATTAAATTTATAATGGTCTGTAATCCTATTTAGGCATGTGCTTAAAACTTTCTGAGGGTTTTATCCAACTTCCCAGAGATTTGGATTGTAAATGAAGTCTTTTTGACTAATTAGACTTGTTTATTTGGTATGTTAAGTTACATGGGAAGCACTGTCAAACAAATGATGATAAGTCTTCTTAGGTTATGCTGTATGGGTAAATGCTTACCTGTTCCAGAAATTAATGAAATTCCTAAAGTTTTAATACGTTCTGGTATAAGGTCATCCTTGAAATTTTAAATATTAAAATGCTATGTGTCACGGGAATAACTACATTTCCTTGTCAGCTACATTATAATGAACTCTCATATCAGATCTTCAACCATGTCTATTTTTGAGTCTTCTGTCATTTATAGTTATTGTTCTGATGCTCTTGTGGAATGAGTTTTGTCTTCAAGGAGATTCAGGAAAAGGACTTTTTACAAACAGAGGTTTTTGATATCTTTAAAATCTTTTTAAGATTTTATTTGAGAGGGAGAGAGAGTGCATGTGTGCAGTCGGGAGGGGCAGAGGGAGAAGGAGACTCCCTGCTGAGCAGGACCCTGGGATCATGACATGAGCCGAAGGCAGACGCTTAACTGACTGAGCCACCCAGGCGCCCGATATGTTTAAAATCTTAAAACTAAAATGGGTCAGGGCGCCTGGGTGGCTCAGTTGGTTAAGCAACTGCCTTCGGCTCA